TCTTGAACTGAACTTGTGTTATAAGGCTCAGCTGCATGGCATTATATCAGGAATAAATATTGCTTAGAATAAATTTTGAAAGTGTTTTTTTGTCTTTGCTTTTAATATTGACCCATATTAGAATATCTGATAAAAGTGTAACGTTGCCAGAACTTACCTACATGAAACTGCTGTCCAAATTTATCACTAGGATAAATTTGCAGAGTTCAGTATTGTGGATGTTGAGGTTATCTGTTTTAGGTTAGATTGAGGGGAGAGGAGTCACAGATTCAAAGAATCAAGAATTGCAGGGGGTTGGAAGGGACCTCTAGAGATCATGACGTCCAACCCCTGCTAATGAATCAGCTCAGATTAGCTAAAATGCATTGATTGTTTATTTTTATAAAAATGTTTTTCAAGTCTATTTAAAATAATAAAACCCAAAGTAACTTATAGCTTTTCTCTTGGTTACTCTGTCTCTAGTTTCTGGAAGTGTAATTGTATTTTCACTCAGTAATATGAGAGGTCTTCATCATCTTCTACGTTCATATGTATAGTCTTGTGTGTGTGTACATGTGTACATATGCAGAGTTCAGTAAATCTCTGTTTTATTAGGCCCCTGAGTTGTTCACACCTGAGAGAGCTTGGAAGGCTCTGAGGATAGCAGAGGAAAAACTACTTGGTCCACTGGGCATGAAAACTTTAGATCCAGAGTAAGTATAGCTGACATGAGAATAAGTGACAGTAGAAATTATGATCTGGGGAGTTAATGTTTTGTCAAAATCCCTGTATATAGTTGTGAAATAAGGCTACAATAAATACTCCAGAAATGAGTATCTTAGTGTTCTAAAACTCCATGCAATTGATTTTATTTATGTAGACAATTTCCAGGTGTTTTTGGATGCCATGTAGCAAGCAATTCAAATTTGTTATCACAAAAGTTATGAGTAGGCATCAAAACACAAATTCAGTATCATACAATGCATAGCATTACAATTTGAATAAAAATATAGGAGTGAAATTATACAAGTCATCTGAAAATTTTAACAATTTTCCCACTAGTTAGTACAGTATTTGGAATTCTATTGTTATCCAAAATGTAGAATTTTGGGACCTCCCTGACTGAAGCCCTATTAGATGTAAACCCCATGAAAAATTTTTGGCTCGTTTCTGCTGTGCAGTGTATACACTATTTCTTGTTAATGTTTTGCTTATGTTTGTTTTCTTTTCTTGCAGTGATATGGTGTACTGTGGAGTCTATGATAATGCTCTCGACAATGACAACTATAATGTGGCCAGAGGTTTTAATTACCACCAAGGACCTGTAAGAGCTGTTTCTTGAATTTCAAAATAAGTGCTGACTTTTTTTGACACTGACAGCTATAATAATCATCTCCTATCTTTGCTTAGGAATGGCTGTGGCCGATTGGATATTTTCTTCGTGCCAAATTGTACTTCTCAAAGTTGATTGGTCCAGAGATATATGCAAAAACTGTGGTTATGATAAAGAATGTTCTTTCTCGCCACTATGTTCACCTTGAAAGGTAAAATACCATCTAAGATAGTAGATACCACCAGTCACTGAATATTTTGAATCTATCTGATTGCATGTACAATAATATACTACTTATTTTTAATACACTACTTATTTTAATAGCATCTGTTTTCTACATATAAAGTTGGCCACTGTGAATGCTATTGAGATCAAGTCAGGTTTCAAGTACAGCTGAGATCTAGTGCTGTTCATAGATACTTGGAATTACTAATATTTACCCACATGAAGTCTAGAGGAAATCAATTTTATGGAAGTTTTAACTTGTTACAAATCAGCAAGTTAGTCTGCCCATTTCAAAATCTTAATAATATTGTGTTCCAAGAAGACAGGAATTTAGAGGCCCAGAAATGTTCCTCTGCGTTTTGAGGTTTCTTTCTTAAAACAAACAAATTGCTTTGTCTGTTATAATGTTAATTCTTAAGAAATTGAGACAAAAACAAACGTCTTCCCCTTGATAACCCTTCATACAATCTGTTCTGCAGTACTGCAAACATGCATTCATTTGTACCCCTAAGAGTAAATCAATTGGATTCAGTAGTCTACGATGGAAGAGTTTGTCTAGCTAACCGCATAAGAACGAAAAGGGATTTGTCCGTAAACAAATCTGGGGGAAGAGGAAAGTTCATGGTTTCAGACTATCTTCCAACCTTCATCACTTTTTAGCACCATAATCAAATTTCAAGTGTAGTTTGAAACTGGATAGATAATCCAGTTATTTTGTTATCTCAAAGATAACATAGGTTCTTCAAACTGGTACTTCAAGCTACTGAATGGGAAACAGGAGCATCATTTCAATAGCGTAAGTTTAGGTATCATTGTGTCAGAGAATCTACATTCTCACAGAAACCTGCAATTTTCTGCAGCAGAAGTAATTGGGTTGGATCTCAGTTATTAAATAACATAATGTGACTGTAGGAATACAGGCATTGTTTAAGTTTCCCACTGAAATACTATTCTCAAAACTTTTATAATGTAATGTTCATTTCAGTGTGTAGTCTAACAACAATACTCTTTTTTTTGTTGTTGTTTGTTCTTTTTTCTTTCTTTTACCAGATCATCCTGGAAAGGGCTTCCAGAACTGACCAATGAAAATGGGCAGTATTGTCCTTTTAGCTGTGAAACTCAGGCCTGGTCGATTGGTGTTATCCTTGAAGTTCTTTATGACTTGTAGAAGTTTATTTTGATTGATTTTCATGAAACTTCTGTGGTCTTCTCATCACGGGGCATAAATGAACATTTTGCTTGTATAGCAACAGAAATGTCCTGCTTGCACTATCACTTAAACCGAATCCTGACTAGAAAAAATGCTGAAAGTCACTGGCTCCTATGCTGACTAATTATGTGGGGCTTGTTTCTCTTTAGAAAATAAGGTCATGACAATAAAGTAAAACTGCCATGCATATTTGATGCAGAAAGTTCTAGTAAGGAGCAATTTTAAGATTATGCACAAACTTACTTTAGGTAGCTATGATTTTTAGATTTGTCAAATCAAAATCTTACATGTAGCAAACTGGAGTGGTTCTTTACTGAGCTGAATGTATGAGGAAGAGCGCTCATGTTTTGTTTTTGTTTTTTTCTTTATCTCTTTAAGATTAAATGGATGTTTGCAAATACATGCTTAAAGACTAACCTTTCTGAATTTGGTATGCATTGAGCTACGGCACAATACATTAATAAAGGCAGACTATGTCTGTTCAGCTGCATTAGGGATGGGCTTTTTGTACGTGTTCACTTGAACACTCCATCATGCAACTACCAAAAGAAGTTTACACGTGAACTTTTCAGTTAAATATATATTTTAAAAATCTTAAACTACTCTTGAGTTAACTCCTGAGCAGTGATGAGATATCCTGTGATAATCCACTGATAAATTTATTTACATGCTGTGGGCCAAGCAGCAAACATTTCTTAATTTAAATCTGTTTTTCACTATAAGAACATAAGAAACATGCATGTGCATAACATTCACTGCCTGTATGTCAGAGATGGCTACGTATCTTCTGTTATTGAAGATACATGGTCACTTCAGTCCTTGATTCTTAGTAAAATCCTGGCTCTGAAGCAAGTGGAGTTAAGGTCAGTAGGAAAATATATTAACCTACCCCTGGAGAAAATGAGGTTTCTAGACCTCTAAATTTCACCAGTAAGAATAAGCAAGCTAACTGTATGTGCAGTTCTGTGGGAATAGCATACAGTGAACAAGATGCAAAACACACATGTTGTTACATATTTTGACACCCTTACTGACTTCTGTTCGTTGTTCCCAGTCTGAGGGGGTGTCTGGCAGAAGTGCAGCTGAAATTACCATCTCTCTGCTTGTGAGTGACAAAAACAGGCAGAAGGTGACACTGCTGCTTGCATCATAAAGGGAAAGAACAAAACTGATGATGTATTTCTTGCTGTTGAACAACATTCTGAAAATAAAATATACACAGGATGTAATTAAAACAAACTATTATAGGACAATATTTTATCTGTGTTTTTAAGTTTGATTATGCTGTCTGAAGTAGAGTGCAAATGTGCTGCCTTCATCAGGGAGATGTTCCAGATGGATTTAAAGGCTAGTTAATAGACTGAAGACAGATGAACTGTAAGAGGTGGCTATATTTGCACTATTTATCTGAAAGGTTAATAAACTTATGAACTCCCTTACCAAAGTGTTCAGTACTTGAAATTATGATTGAAGATGGAGTATATTGCAGCAGCTCAACACCTGAGATGTAATATGTGGTACAGGAGACTTTTATTGGCGTAATGTATGATAACTGTCAGATGATCAAAAAATTTACTGAAATGTCAGGAGCAGGTTATGAGAAATGTTTTATATGCCTCTTACACACGAAAAAAAGTGATCTTTTCGAAATTCTTGTTAATGATATTGAGGTTTATGTCTTACTATGTCACTAGAATTTGCAGTTTTCCTGGATAATATTTCCTTTGTTACATCAAGGTATGTTTTATAGCTTCTCTGGCACAATAAGTTGTTCTATCTGATAGATGTGCTTAGAGATGAAAAGTACTGAAGAGCTGTGCCTGGAAAACAATGTGCAACATGTCAGCTTGCTTACACTGGCAGTAACACTGTGTTGGGAACTCGCTCATCAAAATGTCCCTGTGCTGCTACAGGAAACTTCACTGCAGTGCAAACTCCTCTCCTGAAAGAGCGTGTATTTGCTAGTTTATTTTCTAATGTAATAGTAATATTTTAAAAGATAAAATTACCTGTGTACACAAATACATACGGGATCTATGCTGGTTTATTATATGGTTTTGCGCTGGTAAATATAGCTCTAGTGTTTTAATATGAGGGAAAATTGATGTATAGCAGCAACAGAAGAAGAGTTAAGGTTCTCTCTAAACTTTTTTGTCTTTCTCCTTCTTCCACCCATCGACTGATTAACAGCAGTTCCAGCGCAGCGCAGTTAGGCGTTAGCTTTCTGCGCGCCACTTCTATCGGTCCCTAGCGATGCTTTACAAGGGGCCGCTGAGGGCGGGAGGCGCGGGAGCACGAGCGCGAGCTGAGGCACGGCTGCCCGCCTCGGCGGCGACAGGAGAGCCGTGGCAGCGCCTCGGAGCCAGCGGGCAAGGTGGTAAGCGCTAAAACTGGCCGCACCGCCACGCTCCAGGAGGCACGCACTCACGTCCGCCCCTTAAGAGCGGCTGCCCTGTAGGTCGCTGCGGAAACGTCGCCTCCCGGCCGCGGGGAGGCTCCGCTGCCTCAGCGGGGACGGCTGGCGGCGCGTCGGAGGACGGCCGCGGTGTGCGGGGGGCGTTGTGGAAAGTGCTCTGGTTTTTGCTTTTGCCTGTGAATATTTGGCTTGGTGCGCAAACGTTGGAGCTTACGTACCTGTCGGTTAATGTAGCAGCGAGGAGGACTGCTGCTTATAGTCCGTGAGGTTTACCGCGTGCTTTGTATTTCGCAGAGGTTCTTGGTAAGCAAGGCTGCAGCCTGTCAGTTCTTGTGAGGGCACAGCTGTGGGCGGGATCTGTTTCACGCGGCCGAGCTTCCACGAAAACACCCCGTGCTTTTCAACCTGCATAAGCAGTTGTTTACAGTTTCTCCACAGACTGTAGGCACAGCTGCGACTCAAAGCAGAGCTTCGGGAGTGTGTCTAGATCTGATGTTTCGTACTCTAGCTCTGTTGAAACCTTCTGGACTGCTGTTACACATAGGCTGCTTCGAAAAAGAAATGCATTTTTATACAATCATTCTGTGCCTTTCTGAATAGCGTGATTCATTTGCACGATAGATACAAGAGTGCCTGGTTTCGCTTCCCATGAAGACAATACAAATCCATTCCTTTCTTTTAGACGCAAAATGTAGATTTGATAGAAGATAAAATTCTTTATCTTTTATCAGAGGAGAGATTGGGTCTTGTTATACACTTCTTTTTTCAAGGGTACACTGAGAAAGTTTATTGTACTATTAAATTAATTCATATAGATGTTGTCTATAAGAGCCCTACGTGCAGCCTATGTATGGAGAGGGGTATCTGCTTTAATAACGTATAGTGAAAGATTGGTGCCAAATAAGGGGGGCTTAGGAGGACTCATGGCTCCTACCATAACACTCTGAAGTGTATGGAAATAATGAGATTATATTGCTTTAGCAGGAGTAGTGGGTCAGAGGGCATTAGCAGCTTAACAGTTGTCAAAATGCCTTATAGCATTGTTCTGAAAACATCTTGGAATAAATATGATTTTTAAAGAAGTTGATAAATTCTGGAGATATTGATGAATGGCTTAAATGTTGTGGGTGACATTTTAGAAAGCATCTCTCTTGAAAATATGGTAACCTAGAGACTAAAACCTCAGGCTGGCTGGAAGTAAATCAGTAGAAAATTGGGGATGGTGTATATACTAAGAATTACATAAATTTTTATTATAGCTGAAAAAATAACATTTCCTGCTTCATAGCAGAAGGCGGTGCCAGTTTGCAACACTCCATTGCTAAGTCTTGTGCAATTCAGTTCTCCAGCTCTTCCTTCTGAGAAAGACTCGGTGCTTCTGTGCAGCCACGTGTGCCTGTCTGTGTTGTAATGGCTGATGTCTCTGTTCCTACTCCCCCAGGTCAAGATTATCATAATTTTTAGATGCTTAGAAAACGTTTCAGTAATATATTTCTACATAGGGAATGAGGAAAGGTTTATGTCTTTGATTTGATGTTTTAAAGTATTGATTGAAGCTAATGAAGAGGTTTCAGTTTAAAAAGATCAGGAAATTGCTGACTGGTTTTGTACTGAAGTCCAGAAATCTGTTTACAGAGTGGAAAATGCTTGGTTTTAAAGCCAGATATACATTACACATTTAATTTGTTTGCTCTGTAGTTCATCAAATTATTTTATAATTGCATTCATGTGTCTCCTTAGATGTTTTGTTTATATGTAAACATATTTAATATGAAACCCGAAAATAATTATACATTGAAGATCTTTCATAATAACAGTGGTAATTCTAACCTAAGTATTTTGCTATGCAGATTTTTTTACGGCATTCAGCTCATGAGTTATTGCAGATTGACTTTTGTTTGATTTTGGCTTTAGGCACCTTTACAAACAGCACTTACAGTAGAAAACAGAAGACTAAAAGCTATTGTTTGCTCCAGGGTTGAAGCCTGCATTGTGATCAGGTGCATCGTCATGGTAGGTTCTTTAAAGTAGGCCTGCACAGCTGGTTTTTCCTTCCATGAAGTGGAAGGTCAGTACCTCCGGGGAGTCTAACGAACAGATGGTGTATTCTGATGTGTTGCCAAAAGATTTCATACTGTGCATTTATCAAATTGGAAAAAACATTTTCTGTAAGAATATTAAAAGTTAGTTGGTAATGAGGAGTAAGTGTTAAAAGTTTTGCTCTTCTTTGTTGTTGGGAACAGAACAGTTGTTGTTTCTGCTGGAAGGTTAACTAGAGAAGGTTAAAAGTTAAAACATTCAAAAAAAGAAAGGTTTAAGTCTGGCAGCTGAGATAGAAGCTTTGAGTCAGGCAATTAAACCTCAAATTTTGATGCATATTTTGTATTTGTGGTGAATTAACTGCTCTAAACTGAAAGTTGCTGTGAAGTGGAAATTCAGAGCTCCATTTCTTCTTCCTCCTCTGTTACTTCATTTAGCATAAAAGGCCCCATTTAATTGGGGTGTTTGTTGTGTTCCACTTTTGGTGCCTGAGTTCAAATTGTGAAGCACATTTTTTTGTTGTTGTTGGGAAGGAGAGGTGCAGAATTGCTAATTGAAAGGGATTTGTTAAAATGGGAGGCGGAACCTCTATTTTAATCTGGACTGCTTCACTGCAGAGCAGCCTTTTGCTTGATGGTCAGCAAATCCTTCTGGGTAGAGAGGAATGAGGTGATGGTTAGGGGCAGCGTACAAGAGAAAGGCCTATGAGGATTGCAGGGAGGGATCAGGAGGATGTTGGCGTAGCTCCAGAGTGTTTCAAGTGAAGGAAGCAGGAAGGAGGCAGACCTGGTGTCCTGTGTGGCAGCATGTTGCAGCCTGTTGTTTAACAGGATTACAACAACGGCTTATCGTATCATAGACTTTGGAAATAAAAGGGCATTTTATCTTCCACAGTACTTGTATTTTTACATGTGTAGTAGTATTTTAGATTGTCACGTTTATGTTGTATGAATGAAAATGCTTAGCAGTTTCTAATAGATAGGGAGAGCTCTGCTTTTAGTTAGTTTCATGCTCAAAAGGCTTTCATTAGAATGATTTTGGCAAGTAAATTAGTATTTCATATTTAGCTCTTCATCCATTGTATAATCTCACTGAAACTATTGAGCTGATGTTCCATGACTTGTTTTAATGTTTCTTTGAAATAATCCTTTTAATATTGTTTTGTTATCATTGAAGGTTTTTTTGGGGGGGAAGGGGGATTTGTGGAGATGAATTCTGAGATGAGGCATCTGAATACAAAAACATGGGGCTTGGGTTACAGCTTATAAGAAAACCCTGCAGATAAACTTTTTTCAACAATTTTAAAACTTTAATTATATTTTTTAGTATGGTTAGAAAATAATTTAGGGTTTCTTTTTCTGGTTTTACTTATGCTACAGTCATTATAATTGTAGGTGCATTTCCAGATTCACTTCAATTGCACAATGGTTTTCATCCTTGAAAAATAGGTACTTTCCTGTTGGAAGCTCAGAAGAAAAAGAGCCATAGAGGCTGAAAAAAATATTTTCCACATGAATGTGGTCAAAACTCTGTATTATTTTCTAAGCCCTATTTCAAGCTCTTCAATTAGTTCACTATGATATTTTATTGGACTCTCAACTTGTCTACCCTTCACTTCACCTTCTTCGTTATAGTAAATATACTCCTATGAATTTCTCCCAGAAATCATTGAACTCTGTGACGACATAAGTGCTACATCAAACCCTAGGGTTTTATGTGCTTGAACTTCCCATTTTAGAGTCTCTTAATATCATACACAAAAGTGACTCACAATACTAATTACAATAATAGTAACTTTTGTCTTAGAGAATGTTCAGAATTAACTTCATGTTTTTATTTATGATTATATACTTGATGGTAATAAATATACTCTTTCAATGTTTGATGTACGTGTTTTCAAACATGAGGGAAAAAAATAGAAGTGAAGGATACAACATTGTAAGCATTTTTTAGTATCAGTGCTTTACTGTATGTTACATTACATTATAAATTTGGTATGAAACTCAGAGAAAGCTTTGAAATTCTAAGTAGCTGTGACAGTAATTAGTACATACCACTAACACTAGTTTATTTTCATTTTCATTAGTAAAGGTTAATGTATGTTTTGAGCTAAATTAGCTGAAGAGATGCTTGCACAATACGTTAAGTGTCTCTGTGGCATAAGTTTCCTTTCTTGGAAAACTGTGGCCGTTGCACCCTGAGAACTTTTGGTGTCCTCAGGACATCTGGAAGTGCGTGGCAGCTGTGCTAGCTGGTTAAAGCACTTCTTTGGGAGCAGTTTGGATTTGGTTCTACAGTTCCATCATTTTCACTGTCCCTCTCAGTTAATCAGTAATCCTTTTATGCTGGCTAAAATAATCTCCTAGCCAAACTGCTGGTTGGCCAAAAAGACGTAGTCTAAGCAAAGAACCATCACTCTTGCTGCTCCTGTTGGTTGGGATCTCTAAATATTGCTGCTTCCGTTGCCAGTGGTACAATTAACAGCAAATGTTGTTTTGCTTTTGTTGTCACTTTGTACCTCATGTTAATGAGTTTGTAGGTAATATACGTTGTTACGTTCAGCAGAACTCAAACATTTAAAAACAGAATGTCAAGAGTTACTTTCCATTACATACAGTTTCGATTCTGCCTGCTCAGATCATGCCCAACAATGTATCAGTAATACCAGTATTTTTCTATGAGCTGTGCTCATCAGGAGTTACTTATACCTGTGCTATTAGCAGGATTATCTTAAGAAGTGCTGAGACTTTGGGTACACCCTCTGCATGTGCCTCACTTGTAATCTTGCTGTCCGCCTGTCAGGGATTGTGCAGCAGTTTACACCATGCCCAGTCTCATGACGTTTTGCTTTGCAGTAGGTCTTGAGGTCCTCATGTGGATGTCTTTAGCTCATTGCCTATAGTTAATGACTTAGCCAACTC